CCTGAAGCGGCCCCTCCTGCCCAGTCACCGAACCGGTCCCAGGTCCCCGTCTGCGCGGGCTCTGCTGTTCTGAGCGCCGGCTCCTCCGAGTGGCGCCAACTGTTCGTTTCAATGACACAGCCGCCTGCCTCCGCCGGATCGGATGCTGCGCGAGCCGCTGGAAAAGAAGCGGCGTTCACCAAGACAAGGTAAATGAAAGGGTCCCGATTCAACGCCTCAAGCCCAAAGACAGCGGGCCCACTTGGGAGGTTTATAAACGCAAGCGTCTGTGATCAGAAAGATTTGCGGGACGACCAGGGACACGGCGAGGAAAGAAATGAAGAGAGAGAGAGGGAGGGAGGGAGGGCGGGAGAGAAATTTGGTTAAGGGGCCCTCTTCCGGCGCTGGCAGACCCCTCCACGGCTCCATGCCCGGCACAGGCGCTGCGCCCTCCGCAAAACAAACTCGGCCTCCAGGGCACGGTGCAGGGCGACCTCCCCGGGGAGTCTGCGCTGACCTCGCTGACCCAGCCCGCAGAGACCCCCTGCCTGCCCCCCAGGCACGGGTCCCCTGCCTCACGGAACTGCCCACCTGGCACGTGGCACCTGGTAGCTGGCACCTGGCACCTGCTCACTGTTCTGTATCCAAACAAAAAGAATTAACCACCGTCGTGCGCAAAAGTCAGTCGTTTCGTAAGGAGACAGAAAATCCCAGGTAAAGAAGCTGCCCCTTGTCGCCAGAAGCAAGAGCAGGGGCAGAGGCTGGACACAAGGACTGGGAGACACCCAGACAGGCAGCAGGACCCCAGATGCACCCCCACCCCAGGGCCGCAAGGCAGCGGCAGCCCCAGCCCCGCCCAGCTCCTCCTGGGCGTTCCCGGACGGAGGAATCCGGGTGCTCTCCAGACCAGGGCACGAGGAAACGCGAGGACGAGGCTGACGGCACAGGGACGGAAGGAGGCCACGCAGTCCGGAGCGCGTCCTGCCGCGTGCCCGGGCCAACGCCACACGCTCGCCAGCACACACCTGCACGCCCGCCCGCACGGCACCAGAGGCCGCCCGCAGCCCACGGGGGTGCACGCACAGCCTGCCGCAGTGGCCGTCAGAGGGGGGCCGGCCCCTTGCTGACCCGAGTCGGGGTGCTCGGGCCACGGGGGTCAGAGGCCCAGAGCATCCTGGCTGAAGCCAGTCGCACCTGCGCGCCGCCGCTCTGGAGCCGCGTAAACCAGGCACAGGGTGCGTCGAGAGGGACCCTTCCCTCGTCTGTGGAGGTTTAAGGTTACACAGCACCAGTGCCGAGCCCTGGCCGGGTGGCTCAGCGGGTGAGAGCGTCGTCCCCGCACACCAAGGTTGCGGGTTCGATCTCCGGTCAGGGCACGTTCAAGAAGCCATCAGCAGATGCATCAATGAGTGAAACCCCAAATCCATATTTCTTGCTCTCCCTTCCTGTCTCAAAAATCAATCAATAAACACTTAACAGTCAGAGAACACATATTGCATCTGCCTAAACATTGGCCTGCAGGTTCGCTGAGCTGTAACAGTTGTGCTGTGCCCCACAGATGAGCCCTGGGAACAAGGCAGTCATGGGTGGGGTTCACAAAGGTCAAGGTGCAGCCCCCTCCCTCTGTCACCCTCCTCAGCTGTCCGCTGGTCCCCGTGTGCCGCTCCCACCCCTGCCCCGTCACCGACACCCTCCGCTGACCTGGGACGAAGGTGGTCGGTCGTCCCAGCCGAACCTGTTCCGCCCTTGGCGCACTGTGACTCCCTGGACACCACGGGGACGGTGGCCTCTCCAGGGCGTCTGGGCTGCTTCCTCACTCTGGTCCTGTGACCCCCCCCACACCCATAATCACCTGGTTTAACGTACACACCTGAGCTCAGACACCTCTCCGGAGTAGTTCTCCCACCTGCCACCTCAGAGTTCAACAACTCTCTCCAGCCCACCTGCCGCCCACCCCCTGGGCCCCCGTCCTCCCACTGCTGGGAGCCTGAACAGCCCCGGGGCCGGAGGCTGGCCCAACCCAAGGACACTGCCTGAGACCGCTCCCCTTGCCCCGGCCCCTCAGAGCGGGGGCAGGGGCAGCCGCTGGACTCCCGCCCGGGGCCTCCTTGCAGCCAGCCGCAGCCGCACGGCACTCGCATGAGTGCGTGTGCACACATCACAGCCGCCCGGTGCCCCCCCCCCCCCCGCCCCGGTTACTCTTCCCCGCTCTCGCGGGCACTCCGCTCTCTCCCGCCGGCGGCCCGCACACCGTCTGTTTTCCCGCTCAACCTCGTCCCTCCGGGCAGGAAGGAACAGGTGCCGTCCCCAAAACACGCCAGGCCGGTGGGCGCCCCCGCAGGGTGGAGATTATCACACCCCTCAGTTGCACACTCACTGTGGGTGCCGGTTGTTTGCTCACACACGTCACAGATGCGAGAGCGAGGAACACCCGGAGGGGCATGGCTGGGCCACCCGGGGCCGTGGGCCCTTACTCACTCAGGACCCGGCCCCGGCCCCCGCGGGGGCTGCAGGAGCGCAGACACGGGATCCTTCCCCCCTGCCGCTGGGGAGGCCTGGAGACGGCTCGCCTGCGTGTGTCTTTGGGCTTGTCAGGGACTCGGACCCCCAGCCCCAGTGGAAACTGCACGCGACCCGTCTCACAAGAACGGTGCCCTGGGGCGTGCAGCCCCCTGCCCGCCCGGACCCCTGGGCGGCAGCCCCCTCCCTGGCCTCTCTCAGGAGAAAATGGGTGTCGGGGCTTACTCCGGGCTGCTGTGCCCGCGGACCCGTGTTGTCCCCTCGGACGCAGTGCAGCCGTCACTGGAGACCGGAGGCCCACGGTTCTGAAGGGCGGGGGCCGCTGACCTCGGCTCGGCTCGGCTCGGCTCGGGGTGTCTGGGGAACCCGCCGCCCAGCCCGACCCGCCCCCTCCGCGTGAGGAGTGTACTTGACCGGGGCCGAGAGGCGGAAAGCAAGGCACTCGCGCCTCGCGCCTCTGAGAGAGAGAAGCAAGGACCTGCTGCGCCTGCGTCCCGACGGGGCCGACCTGCCCTGCCCAGGGCTCGAGTGTCCTGCTGGGGTGTCACTCGGGGGCAGCGAGGACAGGAGCCCAGCACCGCGCTCAGGGCCCCTGGAAGGGCTGGAGTGACCGGCAGCCTGGGCGGGCGGCGGCACAGAGGCCGGAGCCCCGCTCAGGCGGTGCCCGAGGCAGCCCCCTCCCTCCCTCTACTGCGAGGAGAAGCCACCGACCGAGTGGGCTGGTCTCTCGTCCTCAGGGCCCCGGTGGAGCATCCTGAGGACTGCTCCAGCGAAGATTGGTTTTGTGTCGTCCAGAGCAGGCGGGGGGCCGCCCAGGACCCCTGAGGAAGTGGGCCAGTGCGTGGTGGAGGGGCGCTGGTCCGCCTCTGGCTGCCCGAGCCTGGCTTGCCCCTGCCTGAGGTCCCGGGTGCCGGCAGTGATGACCCCTCCGCCCGGGGGTGGGCAGTGGCCACAGAGGGCTGTCCTCCCCCCAGCGCGCAGGTGCAAAGTGGGCACTGCGCTGCCCCAAACGCCACCAGCTCCTTTCTGAGACCGAGCACTTGTGGAACCTGTCTGCTGCTCTGTCTTATTCCGATTCATCTCGGGGCGGATGTACTGTAAATGACGTTGGGTGCAGGGTGGGAGGGCAGGAGGCAGACACAAAACTCCAAGCAGCATGAAAAACAAAACAATACACCAGCATGAAAAAATAGTAACAAAAACTGCCCAGGCGGAAACCGGATACAGGCAGTGTTGGGGTGCCACCTGCTGGCCGCCCTCTGGCACTGCATGCTGGCCAGCTTCCACCAGGTCCTGGGTCCACAGCCCCAGGCCCTCCGACGCCCCAGCAACCCTGCAGTCAGTCTGGTCCGCTCCCACCCAGGGGCGGGGAAGTCTTTCTAACTGCCACTGCCCACCCCGAATGACTCCTTCTCTGAGAGAGAGAGAGAGAGAGAGAGAGAGAGAGAGAGAGAGAGAGAGAGAGACTGGTTGCCTCCTGTACACGCCCCAACCAGGGATCAAACCTGCAACCTAGGCATGTGTCCTGACCAGGAATCGAACCTGTGCGTGCTTGAAACGATGCTCCAGCCAGCCGAGCCACACGGCCAAGGCTGATTGCTGGGTTTTAAAGTCTAACCTTCTCCTGTGAGTGAGTGAGTGGGGTGTCTGTCCGTCCCAGAGCTAATGGAAGTCGAGGCCACCCACTGTAACGGTAGCGTCCCTGTCGTGTCTCCCACCTAACAAGAGGCATCCGTGTGTAATAACACACTGCCTGCCCAGCAGAGAAAGAACACTCACGGATCTTCAAGAAAAGCGAACCCCCGTGGCCCGGGAGAGGTGTTTAAGCGCTGGGGTTTGCAGGGTGAGGGGGGCGGGGAGAGGGGACGGGACGCACAGCTCCCGATGCGGAGACCCTGCCTGGAGCTGGCGCAGGGCGGTGCAGACGAAGCAGGCGCGAGGGTGCGGGCTTCTCCAGGACCCAGCTCCCGCGGGGGAACACCCAGGGTGAGGAAACCCTAGGATGCGGAGGCTGCCTTCCCAGCTGGGGACGCCCCCTGCCCCGCCCACAGAGCCTAAGGCTCCGCCCTGCTCCCTGCCCCGCCCACAGGGTCTAAGGCTCCACCCTGCCCCCGCCCCACCCACAGAGTCTAAGGCTCCACCCTGCCCCCGCCCCGCCCACAGAGCCTAAGGCTCCGCCCTGCTCCCTGCCCCGCCCACAGGGTCTAAGGCTCCACCCTGCCCCCGCCCCGCCCACAGAGTCTAAGGCTCCGCCCTGTCTCCCCACCCCCGCCCACAGGGTCTAAGGCTCCGCCCCACCCCGCCCACAGAGTCTAAGGCTCCGCCCCTGCCCCCTCCCCCGCCCACAGGGTCTAAGGCTCCGCCCTGCCCCCACCCCGCCCACAGAGTCTAAGGCTCCGCCCTGCCCCCCGCCCCGCCCACAGGGTCTCCTTCCGCCTCCCACCCCGCCCATCACGTCTGCGGTCTCCCCGCCCGAACAAAAGATGCATCCAGACAGAATGTACAAAAGTAACCTGTATTCCAGCCAAAATATCTTTAAAAAGAAATCCCTTCCAAAGGGGGGACAAACTACATAAGACACAATACATTTAAAATATGTATTGAAATTACAAATCACACTTTCCCATAGGATCGCAAAGTACAAAACACGACGGACGCGAAAAGGCATTCGGACAGCGCCCCTGTACATCACAGTGTTCGCGGCGCGGACGCGCGGCCGCGGCCTCGGGCTGCCGCGCTCCCACCGCCCGTCAAACGCGTCACGTCTACAAGCGCGTGGCCCACTCATGCAGGTTTGATACAAGGTTACGACGACGAGCAGGGACGGCAGGGGCCGTCGGGGTGCGCGGGCGCGCCCCCGAAGGCCCCTGCGGGGGATGCGATGGCACGGCAGAAGGGCGACCGGGACCGTGGGCTGGACTCGGACGGCAGGGCTCCCGGTTCCCAGCCGCACCTGCCGCTCTCAGTGAGCCCAGGCCGCGCGGCCGCTGCTCTTCACGTCAGCTCCCTCGGGGCTCGGGGTCATGCCGAGGAAGCAACAAGCTTTGGTATTTCTTTTAACCAGACCTTCCTGGAGCTCTACACATGCACCAAGCGCTCCCTCCGTGAATTCGCTACGATGTGTCTATGTCTATGTACAAGGGTGCTCATTAACGCAAGAGAATCTGAGAACCACACAGAAAGCTCGCCCTGGTTCCTCCCAATCCCCTCCTGTTCTAAAGACCACCCAGGGGAAACCGCCCATTCCAGTTTGTGAAATAACCTTTTAATTTTTGTCGTTTAGGGGGAAAAAAAAGATAAACTCGTCTCGAAGTAGTTCTTGCATCTGTGATGACCCCTTTCCCCGTGAGCCTGGGGCTTGAATCAGGAATCGGCCTGGTCCCTCAGCTGGTTTCCGGGAACAACATGGGGTTAGCAGACGTGCCCCCCCCCACACACACCCCTGGCGGAGAAGTGACGAGTGTGGGTTCCGGCGGCTGCTGCCCGGGGGCGGGGAGAGTGGACCCGGGCAGGTTCGTGCAGCGGAGGCCTCGTCTGGGCTCAGCCCTGACTCCGTCTCCGCTGCGTGACACGCACAGTGACCCCTTCTCTGAGGCACGGGCCGCTGGTGACAATGGCAGTGCTCGGCTCCCGGCTGCAGGACACGCGACGGAGCCGGCCGGACAGAGGGTCACACCCATCCGATCTCAGGAGGCGGTCAGGTTCCCACGGGACTCGGATCACCTTCGGGCTGGCGGGGCCTCTGTCGCAGCCCTGGTCAGTCTGGGGGGGCTCTTCTTCCCCGTCCCCTGGACTTCAAGGCCTCTGGTGGGATCAGTGAGCACGTGGTTCCAGAGGGTCGGTCGGCGTGACAACCGTCTGTGACGGGGGTGTCATGTCACCTGAGCAGGAAGGAGTCCACCCCCACAGTGGAGAACTCCCCAAGGTTTCTCGGGGACGGATGGCGAGCTTCAAATCCAAGCGCAGGCCCGCTCCCCACGCTCCGCCCACATTTTACATCCAGCCTGGTTGGTGTCCCCTCCCCACGGACAAGGGGGCGGCGTTCCCGACTGACAGACGGTGGAGGAGGGGAAACGCAGGGTGACGTGAGGACCTGGGGCGGCCCGCTCGTGTCTTTCCGGGGGATGGACGGTTTCGGTTTTGTCGTCGCTGAAACACACCGGGGCTCGCTTGCTCGGGGCCAAACCTCAGGGCAGGCAGGTGCCGCTTCGCCCCCCGCCCCCAGTCTCGGTGGGTGGTCCCACAGGGGGTCGGATGACGTGCTTGTGAAACGCGCCAGTGGCAAAGGCACAGGCGGGCAGGGTTTGGCCTCGGACTACTCAGGACAGACGGACGGCCTGCCCGCTGGGAGCAGAGACAGCGGAGCACTTGCTCCAGGAATGCGATCTTTCTGAGGCTCTGGCCCCCACCCCGGTGGACAGAGGAGGGCCGGTCCCTGTGCAGGGAGCAGTGAGCAGCAGCCAGGAGAGACAGAACGGACTGGGGTGAGGGTGCAGCCCCCCAACTGTGGGCCCCTGGACACAGGGCCACGCGCCGGCTGCTCCCACACACACACCAAAGCACAGCGGCCAGAGGGAGGCGGTCACCGATCCCCCCACGCGGCCTCAAACGCAGGCCACCGGCTTCAGCTCCGGGCCTCACGGAGCCGCTGGCCTCTCGGAAAAGCCAGTGGCCACCAGACCCCAGCGCCCCTGCTCCGGCACTGAGACTCGCGCCCAGGCCTCTGTCCCCCAAGGGCGGGGGCAGGCACGTCCGTTCATGTAGACACTGAGCTTCTAAACTACAGTTACACGGGGAAGCTTTGACACGGACCGGACTCCTGAATGGCTTGTTTGATAAAAGAAATAAACACCAGAAGGAAACAATGAGGTGATCCTGTTTCTTCTCGCCCACGGACCCTTCAGGAAGAGAGAAGCGGCTTCTCCGCGGGGAGGTGACCCAGACCTGAGATGACACACACGCCGCCCCTCCCGTCTGCACAGGGCCCCCCACGGGCGGGCGAGCGGCGGAGCGCAGAGTCCGACTTTGTCTCCCGTCGGTCCCCGGTGGAAAGCTCACGAGTAGGCTTCCGTGAGTTCCACTGTAGGGAACCTGCGGCATCCGCCCCTCCGCCGTGTTTGGAAGCCCCGCGTCGATGCAGCCGGCTCCCTCTGTCCAAGCGCACGGGACTTCGGCGGCCGCACGGACACCCGCTCTCTGCAGATAACGCGCGCTCCCCGCTTTTCAAGGTTAATCGGTGGGGTGACGCGTCTCGCCGACCCGTGCACGCCGCTGCTGCCGCGGGAGGGAGCAGTCCCACGGCCCGGAGACGACCTAGTGGTTGGCCCGGTCAGGATGAATGGAAGGGGCTTCAGCGGGGGCAGATGGTTAGGGGCGGGGCCTGATGGCTGGGGGCGGGGCCTGATGGTTGGGGGAGGGGCCGGGAGCTCAAGACAGTAACCAGGTTATGAACAATCTGCAGAAACCCAGGAAGCGCCCCCACCAGCCCCCAGGGCCCCCCTGAGGACCCAGGGCCCCGCTCCCTGCCTCCTGTCCACGAGGGGAGACACAGGCCAGCGCCAAGCCGTGGCGACGCCCAGCACAGCCACGTCCGAGCAGACCCGTGGTTTCTGAAGACACGAGGGGTGTCTGCAGACAGCCGGGTGAGGAGACATAAGCTGATGACGAGCGGAGTTGGCTCGGCCAAGAGCGAAGAAAGGAAAGGCAAGCCGATGGCGGCGAGGGTCCTCCCAGCACGGCCGCGTTCCCGGAGGGAGGCCGGGGCGCCCGGGGCTACCCCCCGGGGCTCGCTGGGCACAGCTTCTCAACCTGCACGTCTCACAGAGAGAAAGGCATTGGGTGGCGTGGACGCACCTTGTTGATTTTCCACTACTCCGCTGGGGAAGGAATGCCTTCTGAAAAGGGTGCTACTAAATGCCATTAGGAATAAAAACGGTTGTCCCAAACAGTGCTCTTCCCAAGTCAGAATCCCCGGAGTCTGTCCGAAGCGAGTGGCGATCCTTCCAAGGTTTCCCTCGGCCACATGGCGCCACCTGGAGGCCGAGGGCGGGACAACAACGCCCGCCCGAGAAGGTCTCTGGTGCACCTGCCAGACACTCCCAGTCCGTCAGTCACCACAGGGAGAAAGCCGCCCGCGTGCTTCCCGCAGCAGCACCTCCCGGGTCGAGTCTGCGGAGCCAGGTTCTGCCGGGACGTGCCCTCTGCCCGCCGGCCCCGGCGACGGCACTGGGGCCCCGGCGAAGGTGCTGACGTTGGTCCCTGAAACCACGGCGTCCAGCGTGACACTGTGAAGCTCAATGGGGCACATAAGGCAAGACCGATGTTTAGTGGGGGGGCGGGGAGGGGGGAGGGGGAGGGGGGCACCACGCTTCCCGGAGGCAGGGGTCCCGTGCTGGCGTCTCGCCTTCCTCTAGGTGGGTAAGGGGTCGTCGTCGCCTTTGCTGCACTTGCACTTGCAGCAGAGCACGAACGGGGTGGCCAGGAGCAGGAACGGCGAGGCCACCAAGAGCAGGAGCCCGAATCCGGCAAAGATGCCCACGACCTGTGAGGAGGAAGCACCAGAGCAGAGGGTAAGGCGGCTGGTCTGCGGGTGCCACGGCTGAAGTATGAACCATGCAGCCACCCCACCCATCCCGCATCCACCTGCACCTCATCCTCCCATCCTTCCATCCATCATCCATCCATGCACGCGACCATCCATCCATCCATCCATCATCCATCTATCCATCCATACATCCCACATCCTCCCACACCTCATCCATCCATCCATCCATCTATCCATCCATCCGTCCATCCATCTATCCATCCATCTGTCCATCATCCACCCACACCTCATCCTCCCATCTGTCCATCCATCCATTATTCATGCAACATCCCACCATACAGTTTTTCATCCACCCTTCCACCCTTTCATCCATCCATCCATCCGTCCATCACCCACCCTCCTTTCCACCCATCCACCCATCCATCACCCATCCTTCCATCCACCCATCTACTCATCCATCCGTCATCCACCCCATTTCCTTCCCTTCACTTTCTTCCCCTCGCTCCTCCTACTTCTCCTTTTCCTTCGTCATTCTCACTTCTCTTCCCCTCCCTCTTCCCCCCGAGCACCCGAACACCCGCCCATTCACACAGCCAGTTAGCCCGGCAGCCTCGCCTGAGCCAGACGCTGCCCTGGGGGTTGCAGACACAGAGATGCTTACGACCTCGGCCCCCAAGCAGCGGCCAGTCTGGGGGAAGGAGACCACACAGTCTGACCAGCAATGACAGTGCGGCGAAGAAGCCCTCCCAAATTGGGTCTGGGTGTGGAGGGGGCGCGAGGAAGGAGGAAGGTTTTCTCAGGGGGTGACGTGAAGGGAGGAGGTGGCTGGTGGGCTGGGGCTGGGGCGCTCCGGGTAGGAGAACGGGAGAGGCGTGAGCACAGAGCATCGGGGATGGCCAGACCCGTGCGACCTTGTTTTAACACACACAGTTTATTTTCACAACCTGTGTTACTTTGTTTTGGTGCATATCTTTACCCCCAGGTGTGAGTAAACGCTGGGAGAGATAAGCCTCGAATGTAGACCTGGGGCCGTCCAGAGTAGGCAGGGGGGCTGGTCAGAGGAGCAGGAGTCTGCTTCGGACAGGCGTCCTCCCTCCCCGGCAGCCAGAGCCCGGGACGGAGACCTGACGATGGAGTCACAGCGCCACCTAGTGCTCGCTCAGAGGGGTCACTGCACAAACGCCTCGCACCTGGTTCCAATCCTGACTCAGGTGTTACTTCTCTCTGGGCCTCAATCATACAGCCATCGTCTCAGTTATACAATGAACAAACGAGGGGAAGATCTCTAAGGACTGCCAAGAGCTCTGAAACACTGCAGTGTGCAAAGCATCCCAGACGTGTGGAGGAAATACGGGCTCTGTGCGGAAGAAGTCCAGCCGTTGTTAATACAACCAGAACCGTTTGTGCAAATCGGTGTCACCTGGCAGCCAAGGAGAGGGGACTGGAATGCACACGTGTGGACAGTGACGACTTCACTGTGCTGGTCAGTGGGGGCGGTGCACTGAGTGAGCGTGTGCACTGTGTGGCTGTCACATTAAAGTGACCAAGCGAGTACAGCAATGCATCTGCATCCAATTTTGCATGAAGTTTGAACATCCCTCCACAGAAACTATTCAGATGACTCAGAAGGCCGCAGCTGTGGGCAGCTGGTGACCGGCAGTTTCATCACAACCACGCCCCCGCTCATGCATCACGTCTCGTGCAGAGTTTTTTGGCAAAACAGCAAATCACCCAGGTGACTCAGCCTCCCCCCCCTCCATAGCCCAGATTTGGCGCCCTGCAACTTCTGGCTTTCCCCAACATAGGGAACCGATCCACGTGGCAGTGGCGGATGCAGCCCAGCCCCTGGTTCAGAAGACCGACAGGCGCGAGGCGGCACAGAGAAGCCGGTCCTACAGATTAGCGCTCCCGTGGGCAACCAGGCTGCATGCACCTGGGCTGCTCTGAGGCCTGCTTTTGCTCAAACTCCCTCACCCTGAGTTGAGGCAGCAAATATTTACCGCATATCTTAAAGTAACTTCCTGAAGTCTGTGCTAATCCTCCCAAGGATGAGTGTAACCAGTTTGACCGCTTCTCCCCTTGCATTTGCAACATTCTTTTCTTTGTTATCTGTACGAAGTAAACAGCAACATCTTCTCCTGTGCATAATAAATGAGGACCATCCTCCATGTAATGTGCCCAGAAAGGCAATGAAAGCCTGTCCAGGCAGGGATCGGGGTGCTCTCTCACTCAGAGAGTGGCTGTGCCGTCCCTTTTTCTCCACAGGACTTCTGCAGTCCGTGCGATTTGGTCGTCGCAGCCACAACACAAGGACCCCGCTGGTCGGAGCCTGTGTCATCCCAAAACTGAAATCCCCTTTGAAAGGGAGGAGATTTCAGACCATCAGAGTCAGGAAATTACGACGGGGCAGCTGATGGCGACTGGGAGAACAGTGGGAGGTCCCGAGGGGCCTGCTTTGAAGGGGACTGAGACCTCGTTGTCCTGTGCACACTGCTTCCTGTGCCTTGCATCTTCCTCAGCCAACGTCTCTGTTTCTCACGGCGCATGGCTGGGCACCTTCTGGGCAGACCCCGTGCACCTGGACTCGGATTTCTGCCCGAAACCACCGCCCACACTCGCGCACGTCCACGACGCTGCGTCAGTGAGTCACACTGTGCCGGTGCTGAGGACCCAGCGTCTGCCCAGCTGGCCGAGCCCTCGGTCTGAATACCCGCGGGGGATGACACGCTGTGAACTCACACCGCGCTTTGTCAAAACCGCAAGCACACTGCCACCCCAGACGCCGCGAGAACACCCAGGGGGTGTCACTCCCCCAGGGGGCGCTCATGAGCACTCCCCACTCCTGTTAGTCCCACAGGAGCCCGGGACTCAAAAACGTGCCAAAATCGCAGCCGAATGCTCCCATGCCCAGCCAGGTAATCTCCGTCCTCGTCCGCCTTGTCTGTTTCGTGAGCGCCAGTTAGTGACCAAGGTGACCCAGCGTCTCACCCACGGGTCCGGGCGATGTCGGAACTGCACAGGACGGGAGAATGCGCCTGTGTCTGCCCTCAAGGAGGGGGCTCTCCTGTTGAGGCGGGGGGCAGGGCGGCAGACACAGCTCATCGCAAACCTCTGGAGCAAACTCCCACCCGCCCTTCAGCGCGGCCTCGGGGGAGGCGGGGCGCAGCTCCATGGGTGCGTGCACGCACACACGCCACCGTCCGGCTAACAGCGGGACCCCCTTCCCTGTGCGGCAGCCCAAGGTTCAAGCGTCTGCTCCCTGCTCAGAGGAGCAGGAGGACCAGTGGGTAGGACTCCCCCCAGTCAGGGGGCGGCTCCCTACGGAAGCGGCAGCACCCCACGAGAGAGAAGCACCCCTCCTGCCTCTTGCACGGGACGGCTGGTCTCCGGAACAGCCCTGGGAAAGGCGCGCGGCCCCGTCACAGTGACGGTGTCTGCAGGGGGGTGAGCGGAGGGCAGGTGAGGGGCCCGGCGGCAGCATCTGCGGGGGGCGGGGGGCAGGTCCAGGCTCGGCTGGGAGTCGTGAGGGAGACCTATCTGCACAGCCCCCTGGGGACCCACGCAACCGCCCGCCACTTCTCACAACAGTCTGCTGCAGCTCCGTCTCAGCAAGAGACCTGCTGCCCCGAGGGACAGTCACGCCGCCTGGCACAAAGTAAAAGAGCACAGAACCTCTGCGTGACAAAGACTGAACATTTCTGTTGCCAGCATGACGTTCTCGCCAGACAAGTCCTCTGAAAGCACGCTCGGTACAAGGCGCGTGGCAGAGGACACTCTCACTCCCACGCAGGCGTGACAGCCGCCTGCTGGAACAGCAGGGGAGGGCACCGCAGTCCTCAGACACCCTCGGAGCCGTGCTACCCGGCGTCACAGCGGACGGCAGGAGGAGCCGGGGGCAGGGACCTCGTGAATCGACAAACCACACACCAGGCGGTGGGTGGCGGACCGCAGCCCGGACACGCTGGGAGCCACAGGACTCAGAGGCAGCTCCTGGGCGTGGGCAGGTCTGAGCCGGACGGGTCCCGAGGGCAGGTGGGGGCTCATGTCCCCGGGGAGCTTGTGACCCAATGCCAGGCAGACCTGTAAGCCATGGGCCGCTCGGTACAGGGGAGCAGTGTATGTGACCCGTGGGGGGCAGTGCCGGAGCGAGGACGGAAGGGAAGGAGAGCTCCAGTCAGCTCTCCGGGCCAGGGCCGCTCCTGGCCGGGCTCCTGTTGGTTTGGTTTCCCAGGGTGGCCTCGCTGAGCTCCAGTCCCCACACCTTCCCAGTCACCCCTTCAAGCGCAGGAGTCCGTGGTTTCTCGAGGTTCCAGACAGGGTGGCCCTCGCCCGTCAGCCCTCCCCACCCCCACCCCCATCTCTAAGGAGCTTTCGAGAATGCGGCGGCCACTGCTCTCTGCTGGCCCACCCTGGGCAGCTGCCTCTTCCCCGCCAGGAACAGGGAGGGCTGGGACGGAGACCTCCCCGCCCGCAAAGCCACACGACCCACCGTCACTGTCCCAGGAAGCACTCCCTCCCGGGCCCTGACCCCCAGGACCTGCCAGCTGGGCCGTGGGGCCCACAGTGGATTGTCAAGGACGCACACACCTGGAGGGGGGGACAGCAACCTTTCTCACGCACCTGCCTGGGGACGGGCTCCCATGCCTCCCGGGTCGGGTGGCGGCCTGCTCCGTGGCTCCGAGTGCAGGGTCCTCACGCCGGCCACCGGCCCCCGGGGTCTGGCCTCTGAGGCCTCTGAGGCCCCTCCGACCCTCTCCGCCCCACTCCTTCCTGCCTGAGCGGGGACCTTGGTGGAACCATCCTACCCCGGACCTGTCCCCGTCCCCTCGGCCCGTCCTCATGTCCTCGCAGCCAGCCCCCCACCCGGCGCTCAGCCTGGGACCCCTCCCGTGGGCCTCCCTGCCGCACCCGCTGAAAGACCCCTCCCCCGCCACAGGCCCTGCACGGTGGAGGTCCCCCGGGTGCCCGTTGCTGGTCTATCGCCTCGTCCGGAAGCGGGGTGTGGGCCCCACGCGAGGAGGGCGGTGCCAGGCACCCAGCAGGAACATGGGTGTGTGGGGAGCGTGCAAACCCGTGTTAGCGACGGGCCCTCCGCAGCCTCCACGGGCGCACACTTCCATCGGAGACGAAGTCCCTCGCCCCGGGGCCTCTGCGGGGGCTCCCTCCTCCAGGGCCGGGAGAACACCAGCTGAGAGACCGTGACCCAGGCCGAGACCTCGGGTGGGAGTGAGGAGCCCCCTCAGGCCCGGGGCCTGCGTGCTCCGTGCGCGCTGCTCTGGCCTCGGCCGCCAGAGCCCGCCCCCCGCCCAAGACCGGGGACCGCGTGTCCTACCTCTGTGTCTCTACGGAACCGGCGAGTCCGCTGAAGCCACCCTCACACGTGCACACGCGTGCACACACACTCGCACACACACGTGCCCGCCCCGAGCCCCAAGCCCAGGTGGCTCGGCCCTACCTGTGTCCGGTGCCAGATGACGGAAGCCCTGGAGTGGCCCAGCTTGTCCCGGCAGGGCCCCTTGTCGTAGTGGATGAGCAGGAAGTCGTCCTGGGGAGCGAGAGAGGGCGGGGGGAGTTAGTGCCGGGGTCCGGCCCCATTCCCCAGGGCCGCGGGGGGCAGTGTGGGGCGGCAGAGGGCGAGCAGGTGCCACCCCAGGCCGCCATCCCGGACTCCGACCTCCCCCGAAGCCGGCGGCCCTGGGCTCAGCGGCTTTCTAGATTTTGGGAGGAGGAGAGAATCGAGTGATGCGGGGTGCTCATCAAGGGCAGGGCGGCCCCTGCTGCCCCCAGGCTGCCCCAGGCCCTGGCTGGGCGCTGTCCTCCCGGGGTCCCTCTCCCTTTGCGGCTCCCACTCCTCCGGGCAGGACCATCCCGGGAGGCAAAGGTCTCCTTTCTCTCTGGCCACCCTCCTGCCCGGGGCAGACGGACCACCCACGTTCTCGTCTCTGAGAACCAGCCTCTGCAATGCCTCCGACTGTCCAGGAAGGGGCAGTCACTCCCTCTGACTCTCAGGGAGAAGGACAACTTGGCCGACTGCCTCCCTCCGCTGCTCACCGCCCAGCTGGACCCCGACCGCCTTCCCGCGGCCTCTCCCGGACTGTCGGGCTCCCCTCACGGAGCCTCCGGTCTGTTCACGAGGACCCCGGCCCCGTGCCTGGCACCCCAAACCTCAACAAGCCCTGACTGAGAGGGCAGGGGGTGTCTCTAGACACAACCCTCGGCTCCGCCATGAGCGGAAGCTGCTGTTCCCCCGTAGTCACCCGTCAAAGGAGCAGCTCCGTGAAGAGCAGAAGGGGGGCTGGTGGCTGTGCATTCTCCGACGACGAGGGTGCAAACAGCTGCTTTCGGAGAGCAGAGGGACCCGCCTGGGCCCGGTGTGTCTGCGGGGACCGCAAGCCCTTCTCCGGAGGGCCCGGGAGACGAGGTGCAGTGACTCTCGTCTGGGCCCACAGCCCGCTCTGCTGGGAGCGCCCGGGGGTGGGGGGTGCAGCCGGGGAGCCCCCCCTCCTCCTGGAGTTTGCTGACGGTTCAGGTCCCCGCCTAGTGCCTGAATGCATGCAGCTGCATCATTACCCTGGATTTCCCGGGGTGGGGGAGGGGTGGCGAGAAGCCATGGAGGGAGGTCGGGAGTCCCTGCAGCCGCCACTGCCCCGCACCCTCACCCCACCCCTCAGGGAGGAGGCCAGCGCGGGCACCGATGGACACACACCCTCCCCCCCGGCCAGACCCCTGTCTCCCGTGAGGCTGTGGCTGAGGCTTCCGTCCACTGGGAGGAACCGCGAGGACACCCTCCCTCCCACCGAGGTTGGGGGCTCGCCCCGGAACCAGCCTCCCCACGTATCGCCCCTCTTCCCAGACTGCCCGTCGCAAGGCCCTGCACTGCAGGCTCCTGAACAGGTTTTGAACTTCTTTTCCCGAAAAACACACCAAACCGTGTGGCACGACCCAGTGCAGACAGGGACAAATCGACCTCATGTGAGTCACCTGGACGGCTGATGGAAAATGCCGATTCCTGGGCCCGTGGGGCTAGGGAGGGCCCAGCTCACCACCCCCCGTGGCTGGGCCAGAGCCTGGGGGGCTGGGTCCCCGTGCTAGAGGCCACCCTCTGAGCTCAGCACAGAGACCCTCGTCACGGCCCCAAGTTCACGGTCTGGCCGAGCTCAGCCCCGGACCCTCTTTGCTCCTCCTCACTGCGTCCTGTTCTGTTCTCTTCGCCTGGTGAAGGGACGCCGCGTCCCCTGTCACCTTGCTGTCACCGTGCCCCAATCAGCCCAGACCAGTCCCTGCTCCTCCCCGGGGCTGCCAGCGGGCTTCACACCCAGCGACCCGCAGCGCGCTCCACAGGGCCGCCGCCCCCAGGGCCAGGGCTCCTCCTCTCCCTGGCGCTCACCCGCTGCCCTGTGGTGTCCGGACCTTGCCCGCCTCCCCGGCAGCACAGCGGGGACACGGGACGTGTCTCTGAGCGGGATGAACATGTGTTTAAACAGGACCTTTCTTCTCCCTCCAGACACGCTCTCAGTGGCTTTTACAATGTGTAAACAATGGTGGAACCAAAAAGCATTGGAATACGGTGACATGCAAAGTCATACACGTCCCTTATATGTGTAAGACATGGACAGACTGTACGCACACGGACTGTCTATGTGCATGAGTATGTACATTATACATGCATAGGATGTACATGGCTACACGTAAATATGTACATCACACAGACGCTGTGTGTGTGAGTCCCGGGGAGCTGTCCCGGGCTCCCAGGCGCGGGCCGGCCCCCGTCCCCCGTCCCCCGCGCGCGCCCGCCCGTCGGCCCTGGGATGCGCCCGCCCGCCCGCCGGCCCGCCCGGCCCGCCCGCCCGCGCGGCGCACTCACGTCCAGGGACTCGAGGCAGTACCAGCAGAAGGCGTGCTTGCAGCTCTTGCACATCATCTGGGCGCAGCCCTCGTCCCGCTCTATGTAGACCTTGCACTTGGGGCAGCGCTTGATGGGCGCGTCGTCCTCCTCCTCGGGCCTGAAGGCCGCCGAGCTGCGGGGACACGTCCGTCAGGGCCCCGCCCGCCGCAGCCCCCGGCGCTGCCCCGCCCCCACTCCCCGTCCCGGGAGCGTGGGCCCGCCTGGAGCGGCCGGGCTGCTCGTTGTTCAGTGAGATAAAGCAAAACCAGAGAGGCCGGAACTCCGGAAAACCACACCAAAACCTGTGACCCGGCCCCTTCGGTCTGGGGGGAAAGGGCAACATTTGCACACACATCCCGAGTTGGCGAGAAGTGCAGGCAAGCAAAGAGCACGCGGCGAACGGCGCGGGGCGGAGGGATCCGAGGGGCGGAGTCGCGGTGGGAGTCTGGGTCCGGGTGCTCGTGTTTGCATACTCCCCGAAGGGCCGATCGTCTTATACTCTCTCTCCCTTTCAGAAACAAAGCGCCCAGAAACGCAGGGGGCGCTTCGCTAGCTCCCCCTGGCCTGTCCCTGTAGCCTGCCTCCGGGCCTGGAAGTCCAGCGCTGCAGGGCGTGCAGGGGTCAGCACACGCCCGCCGTGCCACCGCCCCTCTGGGCTCCGTGTCCTCGCGAGAGCGGGGAGGAGCGCAGGCCCGGGTGCGAGCGCCGGGCGGGGCAGCAGGCGGGGGAGGTGCCGACACGACACGCGCAGCAGCGGCGGTCTGCGCTGCTCAGGGGGAGGTCACGCAGGCGGTCAGGTGTGGCGACGGGACGGTGTCCGTGCCACGCAGCTCGCGTCCAACCACGGCCGGACGGTGCGCAGGGCGCACGCCGCGCTGGCGGCGGCCACCGGAGGTGACCGGGCTCCTGCGCAGTCGGCAGGCACCCACCCCGGCCAGCGAGGCGACGCTCAGCCCCGATCACACTGCTCTGGCGGGGAGGTGCGGCCTTAAAGCGAAGGAGCCGGTTTTCTGGCGGGACTCACAGCGGCTCCGAAGGGAATGCTGGGGACAGAGGCCACGTCAGGGACCGCGTCTCCCCGGGAGCCGGTCCAGACAGAAACAGGGAGGCCGGGGGAGCTCGGGGCCTCCTGGCATGCAGACATTCAGCTGGCACGCACTTCCTGGCCCGGGAACTACACTCGGAATACGACGACGGTAAAGGTTACGGGGGCGGAAGGGACTCTGGGGGGTCGTGGTCCACAAGCTGCACGTCTCTGACTCGGGCGCGTGCGCTGAGCAGGCGCTGCTCGGTGAACCGGCGCAGGGAGGCTGGGTTCTGCAGAAACGGGCTGTGTCACAGACAAGGAGCTGAGCGCACTGTCCGTCCGGAGTGGCACCCGGCCGGGGCCTCAGGCCCAGGGACACCGGCGGGGGTGCTGAGCCCCGCAGCAGCCCAGGGTGGCGCCCTTCCCCCGGCCAAGGGCTGGGGTGACAAAGGTTGGACCAAGGCGGGCCGCGGATTCCAGAAGGACCAGCCAAGTAGACAGAGGGGCTGGACACGGTGCGGCTGGCGCTGCCGTCAGCACAGACGGCTCCTGCCCTGGGGACCGGGAGGGTGGGGTCGGCAGCCCTGCCCTGGGGACTGAGGAGCTGAATGAAGGTGGGGACCTGAGCCGGCCTCAGGGTGGCAAGGAGCCCCAGAACAGGATGGGGTGGGGCCAGGCATGCCAGGCACAAGGGCCAGTGTGGGCTTGGGACAGAACAGGATGTGCCCCAGGACACCCAGGGGTCTCTGTGGGGGTGGGGCGGTGGGGGTGGGGCAGCCGAAAGGGGGGGGCGGAGGGAAATGGGGACCAGCTGGTCACACCTTCCAACCACACGTGGGGGTGGACGGTGGTGGGAGTTTGTCTGTTAGAAATGGGGTCTCGGCGAGTGCAAGGCCGACTCTTAATGGAACCATAGGCCATGGCAGCCTTTTAGGACGAGAAAAGGTGAGCGTTATGCCTTCCCTATGGTTCAGCCCACCACCTTTCCAGGTGCAGGGAATGGTGGCAGTGCCCACCGGGGCACCGGCTGCAGAGCCGGGAGGGGCAGGCGGGCAGGAGCGCAGCAGGGACTGACCAGGTTCTCCTGACGGGCTCGGCCTTGCAGGGGATGTGGCCCCCCGGGACCCGTTGTCGGGGATCCTTCCGATATTCGGAGCCACCCCGCACCCACGGCGTCCGGCTCCTGCACCCACCCTGTTTCGGGTCACCTTCTGCAGCGGAGTCTTAGAAAAATCTCGGGACGTAGAACCCCTCACAGGAACTGACCGTCCACACGTCTGTCTTTCTGGGCGGATAGTGTGGCTTGGTTCCCAGGCCCCTTCTGGTCTCCAGGGTCCTGCCCAGCGCCCCACCCATAAATAGTTCTCAAAATTAAAGAACAAACGAACCAGCCAACCCAGGTGTGAACGAGACTCAGCAGAGGGGCTGACCTGGGTGCAGCCAAGTCTGCCCCGTGGCAGCTGGAGAGGAAGCCCCCGTCCCCACCCCCACCCTCCGAGCCCCACCTCCGCCCCATGCACCGCGCCTACCTGGTCTCCCCGGGGAGGAAGGTGACCGGCACGGCCTCGGGGCAGCCCTGGCCGGGGTGCCAGCTGGCCTTGCAGGCGGAGCAGAACTCCGTGTTGCAGGCTTTGCACTGCACCAGCTGGGGCGTCTGCAGTCCCCTCTCCTGCAGCTGACACACGGCTTGGCAGGTGGACGTGGGGCACCAGGTCCGACAGGGGTCCAGGAGCACCTCTGGCACAGGGGACGAGAGGGACGGGTCAGATCCGGGGAGGGACGGGTCTCGGAGGAGGGCATCCAGTCAGCACGGTCATCGGCAGGCGCCCGCCAGGCTTTCTCCTCCTCACCAGGCAGCCCTGCCTCCAGCCCTGCTCCAGACACCCCGGGGTCCCCTCGGGATGCTGCTGCTGCTGCTGCACCCCGCATGCCTGTGGCCCCTGCTGACCCTCCGAGAGCCCACACACACCGTGGTCCAGGGACCACCTGCTCCGTCCGCCTCCCCCAGGACACGGACAGCTGAGGCTGGCCTGTGCCTGGGCCGGGCGGCCTCACAGCCCGGCCCAGAGCGAGACGCACCGCAGACGCTCGGGCACACGTCCGATGGCCCGTCCCCCTGGGCCGGCCTCCCGCCCAGGGCGCACCTCAGCTGCGTGCTAACTCTGTGTGCGGGGCGCTGGGGTCCTCCCTCCCGCGGAGGCCAAGCTGCTAAGGAGCCGGATTTGCCGAAACGAGCCAGGAGGGCGGTTTGGAAAACAGGATGCCCGGGTGCTGCCGTTTCCCCACATCCTTGCTGGGGGCTGCTCGCGCTCCTTCACACAACGGTCCCCGGCCGCCCTCCCTGTGAGCCTGGCTTTGCGTTCCACTCAGCCCCCGTGCACGTGAGTTCTCGGTGCGGGGCAGTGGGCGGGCGGTGACAGGAAACCTCGGAATGCGGGTGCCCCGCCAAAGCATCCAGGCCGTTTCCAGGGCCTGCAAGGGGGCCACGGGTGTCCACGCTCTGCAGCAGGGCGGCTCGGGGGAGGGGACCCGGGACGACTAAACTCTGCCGGGGAGACTCGGAGGCCGTGAAAGGCCGTGCGTCTGGGCCGTGGGGCCGACCGGCAGCCAGGGCGGACTCCGCTCCCCCACATAAAAAGGGGATCTGTCCTCCCTGGGGACCTGCGGGGGCTGGGGCTGCAGCCCAGCAGGCTGCCACAGGACACGCGTGTTCGCCACATGCCCCAGTTCAGTGGGGAAGCCGGAGTCAGCCACCTAGGAAAAGCTGGAAGCAATCTCGTCGTCGGCTGCAGGGGCGGGCAAGCCTTCCCTGCAAAGGGCAGGCGGCGAGCATCCCAGCCTGGGAGGGCCTTTGGGACTTGGTCCCGTGCTCAGCTCTGCCGCTGCAGCACAGAGGCGGCCATGCTGATCCCGAAGTGGGTGTGCCAATAAAACTTTATTGACAGCACCGGGCCAGGGGCTGGGGGTACTTGGCCCACTGGTCTTGGCTGACTGACTCCTGATCTAACAGCTCCCCACTCTGCCTTATTTACTAACATGCACTGATCAATGGCATCAAACTATTGAATCCGTAGGCCTGGCAGAATATTAGAACAACGTGATAATATAAAGAAACCCTGGAATCCAGAGAAATGTGCTTCTCTTTCATCGACCTGCCTTGTAACAACGGAAAACCCTGATGCGCCCCCTAGTGAGTCAACGAGGAAAAGCTGCCCGTTGTTAGCCGTTCCCAGTTCCAGCGTCTGCTTTCCCGGGACTGGTTCTGGCCGTCAGGCCCCAGGAGGTGGCTCCGTGGGAGAACGCAGCTTCTGCCTCCGGAGAACCCTGCACACGGCAGCTCCCCGCCGCCGGCCTGAGCTCAGGGCACAGGGGACAGGAGGGCGGGCTGCCCAGGCTGGGTGCTGGGGGAGTGCTGGGAGTGCCGGGGGCATCTCGGTGCAGGGGAGACGCCACATGCCCCTCGGGAACCAGAGTCCCGTGATTCCAGAGTGCCTAGCAGTCCTGTCCCCCCTTCTCCCATTCACCCCGAGAACTTCCCTACACAGCCCCCCCTTCCCTGCTCTGCCTGACGGGACCACTGGGTGCACGTGCCCAGGGAGGGCCCTGCCAGCTGCGGGTGCTGCGTGCCCCCGAGAGAAGAGCGTCCCTCGCACGCCTGCCCGGCTGCCTGCTTGCCCAAGACCGGGCCGGGAGGGTGGGGAATCACGTTCAAGTTGAGGCTTCTCCACCAGCTCAGGCGTTCCAGACCACAGGGAGTCGGCATTTGTGACTTGCACCGGCCACAGGTCGTGTGGAGAAACCAGTGTGTTCAGAGAACCCCGGAGCCGCCCGAGTTTCCTTCCTGGGCATTTCAAAGGGGCAGCACGAGCCCACGCGTGTTTTTTTTCTGACCCGATCTCAGAAACCTCCCGACGGTGGCCGTAAACCGTCGCTGTGTTTGAGCTCCGCCGACAAGAGAACGTACAGACGCATCTTCAGTCGCATTGATTGTGGGTCCATTTGCTTTTAGTGTGGCAGAACATTTCACAGTAACAGGTTTGACGGTGTATTGTTTAACCTGAGTCAAATTTGCTTCATTTTTATGCAAAAGAAAAAAAAAACTTTCCAACAACGCCAAGGTACCGCAGAAATCAGAGTTGAAACGGGGCAGGAATATTTACCCAGCTGCATTTTTAAATTAAAGTCAATGTCACCGAAAGGTCACTTTCTTACAGTCCAAATAACTGCCACTTTCTGTTCAGATTCTCTCGGGAAAATGTTTTCCGAAGGGCCCGAAAGTCTCAGAAATCCAAATTCATCAACTTTATAGCCGCACAGACTGACCTGTGTATCGCACGGCCTTATATTTAAGTTATAAACAGTCAGAACCAAATGATATACGCCGTTTAAACAAACAAGCTCTGGAAAAGAAATTGTAACGCCATCAAAAATGTTGCTTTCTGTTTTCTTAAGCTGGCCACTCCTTCCTTTTTTTTTCTGAGAAGTAATCCTCCATGGGAAGTATCTTTAGCGTTTCTTTAAAAAACCACATGCACACTCGGAAATTTTCCACATTCAGCTCAACAGGAGGCCCCTGACCCTCTCCTCGGCCGACTCCTCGCTCACTCCCACGTGGGTGGTTTTCGTGGAAACCGGAGCGCGGGCCGGATCTCGGGAGGGAGCGTCTGACGCCTGCCCTCCTGCGCCCTGAGCTGGAAACCTCGGGATCCGGCCTGTTCACCCCGAGGTTCCACCTACTCGCATGTGTCCTCCAGAGGAGCCCCAGGCCCCCCGTTACAAGTCTGTAAGCAAGGCCGCAGGGGACCCGCAGACTCTGGAAACGGCGTGGCGTGGCCCTGGTGCCACCCGAGGACCAAGGGGAAGAACCCCAGGGCCTGGGCAGGCGGGCTCCAGCCTGGAGGGCTGTGCAGAGTGGGGTGGGAGGGGATGGAGCCCACACCCCACCCCGCCCCCACCACCCCCTGGAGCTGGGGACCAGGGTGAGCCCGCTAGCCTCCGGGGTGTCAGTGTGCAGATAAGGACAACCTGGAAGGGCTGATGTAAAGGACTGAGATAAGACACCCCGCCCCCAGGAGGCCAGGCTTGGGGGGGGGGGGACTTGAGTTCAGGGAAAGGTCGCGCTTTGCATAGGGGGAGGCAGGGTGCGCACCCCCTCCTCCTGGGCTCAGCCCCGGGCCTCCCGCCAGGCCTCCCGCCAGGCCTCAGCGTCTCTTCAACTCGGTGCAGGTCTGAGAGTTCGGCCCTCCAGCTGCCGGGCTGAGGACGAATGCCTCTCTTTAAACCTCCCCCATGAGGACACATCCCTGTAACCCTTGCGTTTCAGGGACCATTCCTGCCACCACCCAGGTCCCCCACAAAGGCCCCCCGACTCTGAGCTAGCTCTTCGGAGAATTCAGATTGCTGTCGCCCAACGATACCCCCTCCCCTCTCCCGAAAACACTCCCGCCGGCTGCCTGGATTCTGTCCCGCGACGTGTAACCGGCGAACCCGCCGGGGCACCTACCTCTTTCAAACTGGAGCTTCTTGTATCTCTGCATAATTTCAGCTGCAACCATGCACTCGATCTGAGGGAGGAAACGCAGAAACAAGGAGCGTGACGAGCTGGAACACGGCGCACACTCGGCCAACACGGAACCCAGTTCCCCCCCCCCCCGCCCCCCACCGGTCCCGGCACGTGCCTCGCTCTCCTGCAGGCGGCCCTGCTTGGGGCAGGCTGCGTCCGGGCAGCTGATGGCGGTCTCCAGGCCTTCCTTGATCAAGAGCTCCACGTACTGTTTCAGGCACTGCAGACAACACACGAGAGAGGGGTCTGTAAACACTTGCTGGTCCCTAAGGCTCGATGCACAGTGATGCGTTAAAAAAAAAAAAAGAGCCACCCCTCAGGCACACTGTCCCAGTGCGGGCTGGTGTCTTCACCCTGCAGCCCAGAGCCACCGTCCAATTGGAGGGTTAATTCACTCACTCGCACGGACAGGGCGACCCTCTGAGCCAGGGACCACATTCTCGGGCCCGGGCGGGATCCCCGCTCACAGCCCCAGCAAGGGGACGGCCGGGGGCTGCCCTGCTCAAGTGCACGCTACTGCCCATTGCGACAGGAACAGTGTGACCCTTTCATGGGTCAGAGGTGAAAGCGCAGTCCCCGGCTCAGCCAGAGAGCCAGGGCCCACCCTGGGTGCAGCCCAGCCCCGCGCCCTGCAGGGAGCCGCCCACACTGGCCCCTCGCCGGCCGGACCCCTCACCACAGCTGCAGGCCTGGAGCCCAGAGGCCCAGGTCAGTCACAGAGGTCAAGGGGGAGGCTGGTCCCCTGTCAGAGATAACGAGGCCCTTTACTCACTCCCTCTCGCATTGCAGCTGTTAGTCTGAGGGCCCAGGCTCCCCGAGAAGTGTTTGCGTTGGAGGTCACGGTCAGAGGGGAAGACACCACCCTCCCCAGGCGAGCTCGCCACCTAAAGGGGCTGAGACACAAACTCTGGGGACCCAGGGGGCACAGGAAGCTGGGCCACGGCATGGAAGTTCTCCCTGCCCAGCACCCCCAGATGCACGTCTGATCAGAGCCCCAGGCGCTCTCGTGTGGGGTAACACCCACACTGTCGTAATCCCACTGCGAAACACTGTCAGAGCAATTCACCAGGAAGAGCCTAAAGCTGTCTCCCAAGCTTCCACCCCCCAAACTGCATGACCATTCATCGCATCTCAGGAAGCCCTGCCCCCGCTCCCAGGGGCTCCATGGCGAGAACAAGTCGGTCTCTCGTAGCCTCGCTGCCCCCACCTACAGTTTGGGTGACCTCACCTGCTCACAGCGGAGGGGTGAGAACTGTACGCCAGACAAGCAGTCTGGGAAATTACCCTGCATTTTGCCGTGTATCATGCGTACCTTTCCCTCCAAACTTTTGAGGGAAAAATAAGGATGTACAGTATACACGGGTAGTACCTGAAATACGTGGGTTGTATCTGTTCTTGTATTTTGTGATTGTTCGTTACATAAAATTTCTTGTATCGTAGTATGTTTAAAAACCCCTCAAATAAGCACCAAAATTCTGTTATAATACAAAAAACAAGTATCTAAATACAAATAAACTAAAAATTGAATTAAGTAGGGGGCATACAAGAGGCAACCACACATTGATGTTTCTCTCCCTCATTTTCTCTCTCCTTTCCCCTCTCTAAAAATAAAAAAAATAAAATCTTTAAAAAATTAAAATGAAAGGTTTTTTTTTTCCTGCAAGTTTGGGCCAGAAACGTGGGTACACATTATACGTGGCAAAATACAGTAGTGCCCGATCAATACAGAAATAGTAACTTGTATATTTTATTTACGCAGGTAATTTGGTAATTCTCACCATTCTATCAAACTAAAAAAAAAAAGTGTCACTCGTGGAAGACCCGAGATGGCCATTTCTCTAAAAATGGAAACCCAAGGACTCCTCCGAGGGAGCGTTCCCAGCGCTCTGCTCGCTCAGGGCCCTGAGCGGAGCGCCGTGACGTCACACGCCGGTGGTGGTGGCGGCGGCGGCGCGTACGACCCAGGCCCCCGCGTGGCAGCCCGTCCCGTTGTCCGGCCAGAGGTCCGGGGACGCAGGGACCCTGAACTGAGCCTGTCCTCCGACCACCTGCGTTTCGCCAACCCGAGAACCGCGAAGAGAGCCCCGGAGGAGCCGGGACGAGCGAGGCAGCCGGGAGCCCGGTCTGGGGTGGGGGAAGGCGGCGCTTCGAAACCAGCCCCAGGTCTCAGGGCAGGAGGCGAGCAGGAGGGGGTCCCGCGGAGCCTCCATCGGGCCTGCGCCCCCTCTGGCGGCACCGGGCGACCTGCGTGGGGACACAGCGCTGAGCCCCTGCACCAGGGGTCCGTTTGCTGCCGGAGAGGTCACGGGGATGTCCTAGTTGTGGCCTCGTGCAACACTCGGAAAGAAAGAGCGAGGCCACGGTCCCTGGAGCTCTGCAGACACGTGGAGCCCTCGTCCTCCCCGGCGGAGGTCCCAGCGGTCCCAGCGGGTCTGGGCCACGGTTCTCTCCACCACAAAGGGGGGGGAGCGGGCTCTCCACCTGGCGCCCCGCCCAGGACGGGGCGCCGGCTCACCGAGTGTGACCGGTGCGCTCTGCGGTCGGTCTGTCTGTGTGTGTCACCTGCTTCTTGCCGTCACGGGCAAACGATACAAATAAAGATAGAAACCTCAGCAACAAGGTCATTGTTCTGCTTCCTGTAATTAAGTTTGTCTACATGGGGTGTCTGGGGGCCACGGGCGCCGTCCCCCGAGAAAGCGCCGACGGCTCTCTCCGTGCCGCGCAGAACATGCAAAACATGCAGAACGTGCGGTGCGTCCCGACGTTTGGGGGGCGCTCATTCGCCCCAGAATGACACACAGCGATTGCACTGGCGGAGGCGTGCGCCCAGGGGGCGCCGACGAGCCTGCACGTCACCACGCCAGGTCGCCACGCAAGCACGCAAGCACGTGCACGGGACAGGCGGCGGGCAAATCTGGCGGAGAGCCACCCGAAGGCGCCAGCAGGTGCCGACACCGTTTACGCAATGACTCTGCTCCGGGAGCGCCTGTCTGTTCGCCGGGCAGCCGGGGAGCACGAACCCGGTCTTCCCCCAGAGAGCAAGGGGCCAGGACGCCCAGGACGCCCAGGCTGCGCTTTCCAATCTCGGTCTCGCAGTGAAAAGGCGTCCGGAAAGGCGCGGAAGGAAACGGGCTAACCGAAGCGTCTGGGAAAGCGAGCGCCCTGTACCTATCCCCCCATCCCCCCAGTCACAAGTGTCCTCCATCAACTCTCAAAGCGCCCCTTAACCCCTCGCCCCCCCCCCCAACACAGCACGAGGCTCGCGGGAGCGGCCACGCCACCAGCCAATGCGCAAACCCAGAGGCTGTTTGTCTTACGTCCCAAGAATCAGAGGGGCTTGGGAGACCCACACGTGCGCCCCTTGGGGTATCTTGCCAGTACGGGGGCGGGGGCGGGGGCGGGTTCCAGGCCCTCGCTGCTGCAGGGCCTGCGCAGCCTCCGGGAAGGGGCGGGGAGGGCAGCTTTGGAATGCAGAGGCGAGCGCTCAGGACCCAGAACGGACAGAGTGTGGGTCCCAAGGGCCCTTCCCTAGGAGGGAGAGGCTGGGGCCCAGGGCAGATGACGCAGGAAGCCCTCGGCCCTTGACCTAGGGGGCAGGGTAGAAACGGCCTCCCAGACGCCCTCCGCCCTTCCTGGAGTCCTTGGCAAGCGTTTCCTTAAGGGGCTTGAACAGGTAATTACGCGGTGGTAAGGCAGGGAGGGAGAGCCCCGGAGCGCAGGCCCCTTCCTTCCAGGCACAGTCCGCACCCAGGGGCCTCCTCCCCCCGCCCCCCCCCCGCAGCGGGAAGAGTCAGGAAGGCCTGCAACATTGTAACTTTTCACAAAGGGTCTCAGAAGCATCACAGCGGCCCTGCTGCTTCCCGGAAGCCCCTCTCTGAGCAAACAGTCCTCTTGTCTCCTTTCACTGCCCTGGTTTCAATGAAGCACTTGACCTGAATTAAGTTGCTTATTTACTTTTAAGACTATTTTCTACAAACAGGAAGCCAAAACCACAACAAAAAGTGAAGGCCCCGGTTAAAAGCCTGGGTGCATGGACTCGCCGAGGGGAAGAGGACACAGCCACGGCACCCGAGGCCCGCCCGCCAGGACGGCAGGGGACCGGCGGGCAGCAGACTGCATGGGGGCACCGGGACGGGGGCCCGGCCTCCACGGGGGGGGCGTGAGGGGGGCCTGGGCACGAAGCTGATCCCTGGGTGCACAGACCTGGACCAGCTGGCTTCACCCTCCGGACAGGGACAGGGGCCCCTTCCGTGCCGATGGCTGCCGCCCTGTCCCCACACCTGCCCGGGCGCTCTCTCCTCCCAGCCTTCCTCAGCTCCCACGCCTGCCCAGCCCGTCCTGCCCTCCAGGGAAGTCCCTCCCCCAGGCCCTCAGGAGGGACCCTTCCTGGCCTGTCGCTGCAACACGGGATCCAATCCCGTGGGCGTCACTGATGGGCTCTTATGAGACCGGGGCGTGGGGGGGGCAAGGATTCGGCCCCGCAGCACACCGAATCAGGCACTGGCAGAAGGCGGGGGCGTACATGTTCCCCAAACCCCGTCTCCTTGTTGTAAAACGGAGACGATGACACCGGATGTGCTGGCTGTGTCCCAAGGAGACCACGGAACACGCGGAGTGGGCTCTGTGGCACATGGGCGTGAACGGAGAGCACGTCTCGTGCCGACGGCAGGAAGGCAGATGGCCGTAACTCGAACATGGACATGCCCACACAGGCGGCCAGCCTGGTTACAACGGGGACACTCCGGAGAGACGGTTTTGGTATTTTTAAGTTTAAAGAAAGTGGTTCGCCCTGGGTGGTATGGCTCAGTGGATGGAGAAATGGCCTGCGAAGCAAAAGGTCACCAGTTCGATTCCCAGTCAGGGCATGAGCCTGGGTTGCGGGCCAGGTCCCCAGTAGGGGGCGCACAAGAGGCAACCACACACTGATGTCTCTCTCCCTTTCTTTCTCACTCCCTTCTCTCTCTAAAAATAAATAAAATATTTTTTTTAAAGTGGTTCTTGTTTGGACTTTTTTTTTTTGCATTCCTTGAATGGAAAGAAAAATTAAATAAACTGAACTGAAAATACACCCAACACCCTCCTCCTCCCTCTCTGAGGGGTCGGCATTGGGTCGGAGTCGGCCGACAAAACAGGCAACCGTCACCAGCGGATCGCTGGGCCCCAGACAGGGCTGCCTGGTAAGACACCCTCACTGACGGCAGGAGGAAGACCTGTGGCCTGCAGAAGGGAGGGAGGTCACAGGCCGGCCTGGCGTCTGCAAACACGAGAGCAAAGGCTCGCCGGACGTTCTCCTCAGTGGCAGCTTCCCCCGGAAACACCCACCAGAGTGCAGAAGGTGCAGCGGCACTGGGCCAGGGTCGTCATCTGCTCCAGCGGGTACTCGCCGAGGCACAGCTTGCAGGACACCAGCGGGTCCAGGGCCAGGTCCCACGTGGGCCGGTACCACGCCGTGGTCATGGCCGGGCAGCCTGCAACGAGAGAAGGCAGGCCGTGGGTCAGACGCTCGCTCCTCCGTCGGAACTGGGGCGGTCAGGGCTGCTGCCTGCCGCGGGAAGCGGGGGGGTGGGCGGGGGCCCAGTGGCTGCGGATGGGCCAGGGGGTTCAGGGGACGCGCTGGGGTCCTCCGAGAAGTCTCAGCCAGAGGCCCCCGGCCTGGGTCTGTGGGTGACTCCTTGCCCACATGGACCGTGATCTCCAGATTTCAAAAAGAGGATACTCCGTCTCCACCCTTCCCTCCATCCCTCCGACGACCGCCGAGGAGGACGCCTCCCACCTGCCCACCCACCAAGCACCCGGCCCAGGGGAGCAAAGCCTTGGCAGCTGGGGACCAGGGCTTTGGCTAGATCAGCGGTGGGGGGGGCCACGCTGCTCTCCAGCTGAGCCAGATGGTGAGCCACGGAGAGGCGGCGGAGCTCAGCGTTCGGGGCAGGGGCTGGGCGGCGGGCGGGCCAGCCTGGTCCCCGTCGGCGGGCACCGGGGAGGAAGAGGCCAGGGAAACCGCTGGGCGAGTGGGGTGGGGCGCCGAGACGAGAAAACCCAGCGAGGCCAGACGGCTTGAGCACCTTGCAGTCCGCTGGTGAAACGCAGGGCCTCGTCTGCCCCAACCAAGGCCACGCGGGAGCGGACGGTTTGCTCCTGTGCTCCCTGAGCGGAGAACACACAGCCCGCCCCCGCCCCCCGCCCCGGCCATAACCGCAGGGTCCGGCGGGAGAGGGAAGCTAACGCCAGGGGAGAGACGACCCCGAAAGAGAGGGGGCGAGCGAGTGAGCCCGGGGGGGGGGGGCTGCCGACCCCGCTGTCAGCGCCCCCTCCCCAGAGCAACAGCCCCTCCGGGGTCCCCGAGTTTCCCCCACACAACCCTGCTTCCGAAAGCTCCGGGGAAGCGGGGTGTCGGGTCTGTGCCCGCCCCTCTCAGGCGGCTGGCCCCTGGTGGCTGTGAAAGTGCAACTGGAATCGGGTCCCTGGCTCTCAGCGGTGACAGAGCGGAGCCCTGGGTGTGGCCTCCCTCCGGGTCCGCCAGGCGCCCCACTGCCTGAGCAACTCAGTCCACGGGGAGTGCGGACGATCCTTTGTCAGCAGACAACCCTTTGATGCCACTCAGGTGACGTTTGCATTGGCTGGGACCTTCCAGATTATTCCAGCAAGCCCCAGTACTTGGCCTAACAACAGGGAACACTTGGACGACCCGGGGGTCACTCTGTGACCTGGGGGTGCCGGGGGCACCGGGGTCCCCTCGGCTCACCTGCCCGACTGCATTTCCCTGGGTCACCCCTCCACACCTTGGGTCTCTTCGTGAGGTCACTGTTCCGTGAGACGCCCACCGGAGCTCCCTGGACCGACCCCGGCCCGTGACCTTATTTCCCTTCTGTGCCTCTGCAGCCGTTTTCTGTTTTAACCCTTACGGATTTGCTCTCAGTGACATCTCTGAAGGCTCGGTGTCCAGAGTGACCATCACGGTTTTGTTTTGTTCTGTGTTTGAAATGCGGGGGCACGGAGCTGTAAGGTGTCTGGGTGACAACTGTCTTCTGCCGACACCCGGAGGCAGCCCTAAGAAGGACTCACCGGGCGCCTGAGGCCACGCGGCTTCCGATGGCTTCAGAAACACACGGGCCTGGAAGTGGCCCCCAGGGGGCAGCAGCGGCTGCTCACCGGCTCCCCTCTGGGAGCTGGGGGGAGGCGGGGCTGTCCCTTCCCCGGAACAGTCCTGGGGTCAGGCCCCTGAGGCCCCAGGGGTGGCGTCTCTAGGTAAAGAGATCGCACTCCGGAACCACGCAGACCCGGGTTCAAATCCTCGCGCGGCCCCCTTGGTGCTTGACTTTGGAGAAACTAGGGAACCTCTACGAACAACAGCCTCTCTCCCCTCCCGTGAAATCTCACCCACCCACCGCCGCCGCCTCCCACGTGCGCTTGTGGCGAACCAGAGCACACGCACCACCTCTGGGCCCTGCCAGCTGCTTGGGCGGGGCCCGCCATGGTTACGTGTCGGGACGGAGGCCTGGGACGCGAACGGACACGGCCCGGGGAGCGGAGGGGCGCCGCGATAAACTCGGTTTCTGAGGCGGTTTGAGCTCACGGCACAGCCGTGCTCTCTCCGGGAGAAGCTAACCCAGCCTCCCGGCGCCTGGGGCTTTACCCTCCGCCCGGCAGCGGGGTCCAGGCCGGGACGTGGGTCCCTGATGTGTTTCGGAAGGGCAGGAACCCGGGGTCCGAGAAGCCCACCCGCTGTGAGCCCCGCCCTCCAGCCGCTGCCTGTCTCCCCCCACCGCGCTCGGGGCCTGCCCCGGCTTCCCTCCAGGGCAGCTCCCCCTCCTCCCCGCCTCCCAGCTCGGCCCCTCTTCCTGTTTACAGCCTCCCCGAGACGTGACCCTTGGCCCGGCCTGCAGACTCAACCTCTCGCTTCCTTCCTCTCCCGGTTTCCACTGGCCCTGGAGACCGGGAGGCTCCCCACTGCCCGTGGCACGAGTCCCAGCAGCCCCTCACCCCCGGGGGCCGGCGGTGCGTCTCTCTCCGGGGGGGCAGGGGGGATCAGAGCCCAACTTCCCCGTAACCTTCCCCCTCCAGGGCGGCTCCCCTCCGAGGTGCACTCAAAATCGTGACTCGGACGCTGCCAGCCATAGGTCGGGTTTTACCAAAACATGAGTGTGTCCTGTTGGAGCCCCTCACGGGCCGTCCTACACACAGGACAGGCTGCCTGTGGCTTGGCGACCGCCGGACAGCTGTGAGCCGGGGACAGGAATCTGCTAAGGGAGTCACAATGCGCCGAGCAGAAAAGCGGCCTTTGTCTTCCCAGCATGACTGTCAAGTCACATGGAACAGCTATTTCAAGCACATCGGGTCCGTTATGGGTATTATTCAATCCAAGCAACTCAAAATGTTTACGAGGCGAGCGGCTTACCCCGCCAGGGCCGGGGGTGTGCACCGCGCCGGGCGTCGGGGCGGGGCAGGTGTGCGAGCGGGGAAAGAGCCGGGAGGAGCGAGAGGAGCCCCCGCTGGTTCGCACCTGGCAGACGGGGCTCCCGGGCCAGACCGCTCCGGTCCCCGGGGTGCAGGGCTGTGGGCTGCGGTGGTGGGCGCCCCTCCCCTCACCGCCGCGCCTTCACAGAAAGTGAGGGGCCACAAAGCAGGTGACAGCCAGTCACCGGCCCCTCCCCCCACGACCTCCTCCCAGAAGCCCCCGCTCTCCGAACGCCAGCCCAGCCTCACCCAGGTCTGCTCCGCTGCCCAGCCCCGGCCCCTCCCTCGCCATGGTGGGCAGTGGGCAGTGCACACGTCTCGTCGGTGATGAAGCGTGGGAGCCCACGGTGCACACGGAGCCCACTGTGATGAAGCGTGGGAGCCCACCGTGCACACAGACCACACTGTGATGAAGTGCGGGCAGCCCGACCCCTGCTCTGAGCGGACCTCCCACTCTCCGCCCCCTCAAAGTCCCTCTGGGGGGAGCGCAGGCAGGTTTACGCTGCCATTGGCACGGTCCCTGCCCCCTCCTGTCACTTCTGGTTGGTGGCAAGGCTGGTGTGGGAGCACACCTTGGGCAGCCTGGACGTGGGTGGGATGGGCTGGGGCTGTTCCCTCCAAGGTGCCGGGCAGAAGCCTTGTTGCGGGGCCCAGGTCTCGTCCACCCCTGGGGTGACGGGGAGGAGACGGGCGGAGGGAGCACACCAAGGGGCGGAAGTCATCTCGGCGCTGCTAGTGAGTGGCCCTGTGGCCCTTCACGGCCTGTCACCGTATCTTCCTGGACCAACGCCTCGCCTTCAGCTCTGGCTCCCGGACCCCTCGCGCCCGCCAGGGCCTGGCGACTGTGAACAGAGCTGACCAATGTGCCTGCACCCTCCCACCCCCCGGGAGCTCCCGCTCTGGGGGGAGACGAGCAGATGAGGGCGGCTGGCAAAGTACATGGCGCGTGAGCCAGCACCGCGGGTTCCGTGGGGAATTCAGTGGGGAGGTGGGGGGGAGCCGGTGCCGGAACTGTGTCTGGGGCGCCCCGCAGACCAGCAGGCTGTGCGACCCGCTGGGGGGTGTCTGCAGCAACGCAGAGATCGGGGGTCTGTTCGCAGGGGGGCAGGACACGCAGGCCTGAGGACCCCCCTGGATACACGTGAAAGGAAGGTCGCTGGGACGTGCTGACAGCGTGGGTGTGGGACAGGGGCAGGGAGCAGTCGGTCGGGACCCTCCAGGCTTTGACCTTGGCCTCAGGAAGGGGGGACGGAGGACGCCCGTGTCCTTGTTCAACCCCGGGCAGGGGGACGGGGCCCATGAGCCGTTAGGGCTCCCCCACCGTCCGCTGGCTGGCCGGGGGAGTTCCGCGGGCCCTTGAGCTCAGGCGCCCCTTTCTGTGACGCAGACACAGGGCCACGTCTTCAGCAGACAGGTCACACGTCAGGCGCCGGGCCAGACGGAACGCCCTGAGTGTCCGAGGTGACCGCGCTGGGACCTGACACGGAGACCAGCAGCCTCCCTGTCCTCGGGTGGGGACGCGGTGATATCTGCCACCTGCCCCCTCGGGCACAGGAGAGGCGGCATGGCCCCCCAGGAGCACAGGCGCGGCCGCCCACCCGGACCCCACAGCGCGTCTGTGACACCCCCCCGTGCCGCCTCCGCAGCCTCGTTTCTGCCTTCGAGGTCCCCCCGCCCCGAGTTCACTTCCGACCACCGGTAAGCGACCGCCCTTTGTGCCGCGGATGGGCGCTGGGCTCCAGGGCGCACAGCCATGTCCCCGTGTCACTCGGGCCTGAGGACGGTGAAAGGGCCCCCCCCCCCCCCGCCGCGTCTCGGAGACGAGCAGGCAGGACGCACCTGAAGAATCCGTGTCACTTCAGCCGCGCGACAGCCGTGACAACAGGAACGCCAAGCATGGTTCCCAAAGCCCAAAGGCCTGCCGTCCTGGCACCCCCCCGGCCCCCATCCGCCCACCTGCACTCCACCGCCGGGGGCCGTCTGCCGCCCCGCCCCCTCCGGGGACCCCACAGCC